TACCTATAAAGGCGTGTATTTAAGTTTGAGTCTCTTAATGATTTTATATACGTTCCTTGCATGACCCATTATTTTTAGTGGACTTCGAAATTCGATGATCGAGATATAACACTATCAACTTCGTGTAACTATATACTAGTGTTTTTATTTGATCGCCAAAGCCCAAGTTGGGCCCCTGATTGTTTTTCCTTGAACATTAGCGTCTTAGGTAAAAATTCAAATGTCATCGGTCAATCAATCTTTTAACTTGTCTACTTATTAGCCTTGGCTTTTTTGATCATCATCAACACATCTCAAGTATTCTTGAGTCATACTAGTGATGATGTTGGGTCATGCCAAGGCTCGATGCAAACTCATGTATTCTATTAGAGCTCCACGTTTTATCACGTGGCTCTTGCCCACTCCATTCAATTGATTTCTCAACCATAAAAGTCTACTCGACTTGAGTGTTTTCGACCTGATTTGACTAGCTCTTTCGACCTAGCGACCGTCCAATTTCGACCACTTCAACAATAATCCATGTGATAAGTATTTTATACCTTGTATCTTTCCTTGTGCAAAAAACTTGTATACCTTTTAAAGCACCATAGACTCAGTTTAACACAAGCCAAACTACACTACCCAAACAAGTTTAGCTTCAGTTTTCTAACGAGATTCGACAAAGAAACCCGAATTTTTCAAGTTCCATATCACAATCCTAAATTAACAAAAGAAAGAAGAGAGCAGTAAAATCAAGGAGAAGGGCTTATTACCTTTTAATTTAAAGAGACTGGCTTTGATTGCTGGGGAAGAAAATTGATCTCAAAAATCTCCCTCAGCAGCAGCTTTTGAAGAGCAAAAGAAAAATGATCCATTCCAATTCAGTCAATTGTTGCAGCATATTCTTGGCTAGTTTTAATAACAAAACAGAACATCCAAAGAATATGCTCTTTGCTCAGACAAATCAGTCTGAGTTCAGTCAAAACATTGAATTATACACGAGTCTATTATTTGTAGTTAGGTCCAAAAGATAATATTTAAATAGAGTTAAATTCATCAATGCCACACAACTTTATACTTAGCCACTCTTTGGACTCTATTTTACCAAGAAAATACATTTTGAAATAGTAAAAAGTTGAAAAATGTGTGGTTGAAAAATAAGAAAAAAATTTTAATTTGCGTGTAAAATTATTTTATGAGAGAATGTGTGGTTGAAAGTGAGTATTAAAAAAATGAATTTTGAGAATAATAGAACTCAAACAGGGGCTTAGTGTTATCAAGGTCATCCAATTTTATTTTATTTCACTATGACCATCTAATTTGATATAACGTTTCAACATGATCATCTAATTTCATATAACGTTTCACCATCACTATCTAACTTTTTTGACAATTTTCACTAATTTTAAAAGGGGTAAAACGGTAACTTTATATTACATATAAAATAAATTTTTAAAAAACAATAAAATTAAAAAAACTTTTATTTTTGTTTTTTAATTTATTTTTTATTTATAATGTAAGTTTACCATTTTACCCCTTTTAAAATTAGTGAAATGGTGAAAAGAAGTTGAATGATTATGGCGAAACGTTATATAAAATTGGGTGGTTATGGTGAAATAATTTAAATTTGGTGATCATGATGACACTAAATATAAAGTTGGATAACTATTGGTGGATTTTAACCTTATTTAAATAAATAAACGTATTTTTTTTGTGAAGACAACATTTAAATATGTAAATATAAATTCTCTATAATATATAAAATGGAATAATTTTTATTACCAACCAAAAATTTTGCGCTGCCGAATTAAGAAAACTATTACCGATTTATCGGGTTTTGGTTGAAAAGACTAGTTTTGCAATTTTCAAGACAATTTTTTATCATTTGATTTTTAAAGGCTACCTAGCTCGATTCTTAGGCCGTGTTTGGGAGGGATTTAAATTTTTCTACGGTAAATCAATTCTCATTTTCAAACACACATTCTTTAATAAAATAATCTTTTCCATCATATCAATAATTTTTTCTTCTTTTTCAACCACACATTTTCCATCATATCACTATTCAAAATCAATTCTTCCCTCAAAAATCCCTCCCAAACAAGCTCTTAATTTTATTAGTCGGTCCAACGGATTTTAACATTGTGATTTTTCGCACATTAGGAATTATGCCCTTAATTACGCAACGACAATGTTAGATAGCGACAATATGCACGTGCTGAAAAGAAATTATAATAGCAAGACGAGCGACGAGATGTTGCTCGTCAAAAATCAAACTAGAATCAAAATTGGCTTTGATGCCAAGTTAACACTATTAAGATAATAACTAGTAAAATTTGTACTGTTTTATCTTTACCTAATCGATAAAAAGTGCAACTGCGTATTCTAATAAATTTTATTTTATTTTCAAAAACCCTAATAGAACTTGTATAACAAAAACTAGCTTTTTAATTGACTTTTTAAAAGTCCCACCAATCGAGACCTTATGTATAGATATTAATTTCAAAACTATTTTATACTAATTACTCAATTAAACTATTAAGCAAATAATTCCAAGATATCAAGATTAATGTGACAATACCATACCATACCGTACTAATTAATCAATAAAACTATTTTAAGTAAA